ATATATGAAAGTAGTCAAAACTATAAATAAAGAAATAAAATATAATCTTTCCAATCATCCTTCTAAAATTTCTCACGCACACATATATATATACTTATATAAGTAAGACACTATTCTTAATTCTCTATCTCTTTTTGTTTCTAACCTCCAATCAATACAGCAAAAGGTGGCTCAATGAAGACACAGCATCCAGTAACTGCAACAAGTGAAGCAAGTATAGCATTAGCTATTTCATTAGTGTTGTAGTTCTCATCTCTTTTATATAGCTGGACCAATCCTGAGATTACGACTTGAGTCAGTCCGCCTGAAGCAGCTGCTAGGCTCATTGTCAGTGCCGTCCTTCCAACAGCTGCATGATTGGCCTTACCAGCTATGGACTCAGTTGAACCACAGTTGAATGCAAACCTAGGTTATAATGAAAAAGTAATGACCATTGAAAAATGCAAAAATATAGCAATTACAATTCACCTGATACTAATGTAAAGAGTAACAAATTATGTAACATAACAACATTCACTAGAAAATATCCTGTACTGTAGTACATCAAATTTTGAGCAACTTTTAAAATTTATTAAAAATTCATAAAAAATCCAAACTGGAGTCAGCTTAAATTTTATGTCCAACACAAGTACATGTATATGTATCTGATAAAATTATTAAAATGGTGAATTTTTCTTTTTCAATTTTAGCAAAAATTTGGTCTGATGACCCTGTACTATAGTACAGAATATTTGGCCTGATTTTGGGGCAACTTTAAAAATTAAAAAATTCCGACTTATATACTAAGAATAACATACCAAGTAGTCCAGAGGATCAAAATTCCAAGAGCAGCACTCTCAACATTTTCCTCTCCTCCCCCACTGGGATACATCCACTCAAGAAAACTAGAAACAAACACACACACACACACCTCATAAATCAATTAATGTAATAAAACACATATTTAATGCTGCGTTTACACTACAGAAGTGGGCCAAACCGTGCTGAACCAGGCTGAGCTGGCCCTTCTGTACTAACCATGCTGGCCTGGTTTGGCCCAGCTCACTTCAGCTTAGTTTGGTTACTGTTTACACTATCAAATGAAACTGTGCTGGCCAACTTTAAACAGGGCTGGCTCAGTTAAAGAACCTAGTGTAAACACAGTATAAGTCAAATTTTTTAGTATAGCTAGGCTAGTGTTGCATCAATTTTAAAAAGCAGGTGAGTTGACCTTTGACCTGTACATAGTGCTGGAATAGAACCGAACTCACTTGCAGCTTGAACATATCTCATACTGTCTTCACAAGCATACTGTCATAATACCAGTATGCACTTAATGAACACATTGTCATATTGTAGATCCACTTTTATATAATTATATAACAAATCATTCATTCATTCATTGAGTACCATTAACTAGGTGAATGTAAACATTGTGGGGTCGAGCATGAGCAAGAGATTCATATAATGATCTATTTTATTCTTTTGTATTTGTGTTTGTGTTAGGTGTTTTTATATTCAGACACAATTGATTATTCATCGATCATGTTCTCGTCATCATCTAGACATAAATATTCTAAACAAGCTGTCTACAGCCAGACAAGACAGAGGGGATTTAATGTATGTAAGACTCCTGTTGATTATAACATAATATTCATCCAAAGTCCTTCTCCTTCATTCTTTATCTGACTCAGTTGCTATACTCTTCTTATCCTCTTGTTATGATTTCTTTTAGGGCAAGTTATATTCATCTACTCTGTTTGTTTCCTAAATTCTGGCTCTTTACTCCATCCTATTTATGAAAGGGCTTTCAACTTTTATTCTGAGACTTATCAACCTTCTTTCTGCGCTTCTCTCTATTAATTAACTTTATAATAGTATACTAAATTAATATCGTATTTTTCCGTTCACGAACAAGACGTAACGTAAATAGACCTAGACAGATTAGTGTGGGTCTCGCTCATGCTCGACCCAACTACTAAAGGGCCCTACATGTAAATATCATAATTCATTGAATGCAGCTATCAATTACCACATCATTATACTATATACTATAGAGTAATCCTCACCCTTTCTTATGAGAGGCTACTTCCTTTACATCTTGAGTGACACTGTTCGATTTCTCATTCTATGGGTGGATAAAACAGCAGATAAGTACATGATGTTTTCATAACTGCAGCCAATAGCAACCAAGCCTATCTCATTCGTAGAATATGTCAAAAATATGTACATGTACAGCTACTAAAATTTTAAATTCCAAGCATAAGAGAATTAGTACTCTAAAATTGGTTATTACCCTACTACTATGGTCTGTTATTGCAGTCTGTTTCTACACTAAACTGATTAGCTAAACCCAATCAATGTATCATAACAAGGAGTGTGTGAAGTGTAGTGTGGAATGAATTGTGTGTAGTGTAGAATAAATTGTGTAGTAAGCAGCTGGAATGTTATGAAAGATAATAATTTCTTACTTTGTCCTTCCTGCGTAAAAACAGGCAGCAGTCTTGCAGTTTTGAGCGTATTTTTTCTGTTGTTTCAAGCTTGTGAAAAATAGCCAGCACCAAACCAGCCATACCACCTGTAGGAGGAGGAAGATTGATTGTACAAAGATATAAAAATAGCACACGCCACACACTATAAACTATAGTATCCCATGGAGTGATATCTCACGATTAACTGATAGACTTACCACACAAATGAACAAGTCCAGAGCCAGCAAAATCAATGAATATAAAGCTGTGAAGATTATCGGACGGTTCTATAGTAAAATATTGGTGATCCCTCTCATAAATGTAGGTCCCATTGCAGTATCGATACGGTGAGCCAAACAGGGGCTGTCTAGGACCAGCTGCCCAGAAAAAACGAGCAAGCAATGGATGTATGATCCCGGCCATTATAAATGAGTAAACGAATGCTCCCATGACCCTTAATTGTACCTTTGAACCAACCAAAGTACCACCAATGATAGTAGCTGTGTTACTAGCAAAAGTAAACTAGAAAAAAAAGATATTTTGATATTACATTAATGTGCATAATGTTATGCCCACCATCCACTATTCAACTTTGCTGAAAGCAACTTTGTGGTTACTTTGATGTGCTGTCAACTCTGTTGCCTGAAATAGAACTCAGTTCTATTTTAGGCAACAGAGTTGCCCTAAGATCAAAGTAGCCACAGAGTTGCTTTCAACAAAGTTGAATAGTGGATGGTGGGCATTAGAATTGTAGATCTAATACAGATTACGTAGATAATTTGACCTTCAATTTTCATCCTATACAGGCCGCAATACAGTTACTAATAATTATACACCCAATGATAACTTTATCTAGTGTATACATATACATACACCCAAACATAGGTAAACATTGATTTCTCAGTATATCAATAAGTATTCCCATGTCGACACCAATCGGGTCACTGCTTACCCGAAAAAACCAAAAAATATAATCCTGATCTTCTCCAATAAAGATTCCAGTCGTGTTGCCAGAAATGGCATAGCCAAACAACCAGAAGGAGATGGTACCAGCAAAAATGTCAATATATTTCTACAAAAATAACATTGAGGGTGATAATGATTCATTTATTGAGCTGTTGAACAACAACAACAACAACATCAACAACAACAGAAACTAAAACAATGTAATTATATAGACAAGTTTATATTATGGTAGCTTACCAGTAGCACAACTCGCCTCCTAAAAACTGGCTCACTTCTTGCAAATGCTTCCTCGACATACAAGAACCCTGCTTTCTGTAAAAATAATTATATATTGAAATAATATTCACACGAGCTAGCTCCATCTTACCATAAAGAACATGAGTATGGCGCAAATGACTACCCATCCAGCGCTGGCATCATCATAGCGATCAGAATATGTCTATTGTGAGCAAAAGAAAGCACACACACATTGGTGACTGATTGATGGCCAGAAGCTAATTGCTTACATCGTCGCACGCAGATGATTGTGCCCTGAAGAAGCAGCTATCATTTTCCTCAAATCTAGAGCAGACAGACGCAGACCCTGACATGATTATTAGTCTCTTTATTTCACTCAAATGAGAATAAACTGACAACAAACTGAGAATATACACAATATATTTCTAAATGCACTACAAGCCCCACCCTCAAGGTGGCCCTGGAAGTTCAATAAGTCTGCGTGGGTGTATCTTCTTGAGATCTGGATTGAGAACTGCCTGCCTCACTCTTATCTGGTGCAAGTATTCCTCTCTCTGGGCCAGCTCCAGGTCATCTTGGAGCTCCTGCTCTTCCTTTTTCTTAATTATTTCTTGATATTTCATTTGGTCCAGTAGATTTTGTTGGTGAGCTTTATTTTTCTGTCGTAAAGTTTTCTGATTTTGTTCCTCAAGCTCTTTATGCTTAGCAATATTTGCAGCTACTTCTTCTGCCTCTTTAGCTAGCTCTTTCTTTCTCTCTGCAATTGCATTCACTACAAAAAGAGGGATCATTAAAATTTTAATACTTAGCATACAAAACGCTTACGTTTCTCGCTAATCTGCTTTTGTCTTGTCTGCACAACATCATTTAGTAATTTCTTCCTAGCCTCTCTCTCTTTCTTCCACTGTGCTAGGCGTTGTCCCCACTGCTTCTCTACTTCAATTGTGAGGAGTTGGTCCACTTCTTTCTCTCTCTTCTCCTCTTCTTTCTTTTGCTCGGCTAAGTAAGTACGATATTGCTGCATTTCTCTGCATAGCTCTTGCTGCAGTGAGAAAATAAATAACATTTTAATTAATAATTTTTTATAATTTACTCTTCTTTCTTGATGCTCTGTGGCCTCATCGCTTGATTTCTTAAGCATCTCTTCGAGTAGTTTCATGTCCATGGCCAATTCTTCTTGTGCTTCTCGTGCTTTTCTCTTCAACTTCAGACGAAGTGATAAATTAAGTTCAGCTCTTCTTTGCTCTTGACTTCGTTTCTTCTCTTCTCTTGCATGATGTTCTTCCAGTACCCTCAGTGCTGCCTCCTCTCTCTAAAAAATTATGAGTATAATTAATTTTAGACCAAATTTTTTACATACCAAATGTGCAGCTTCTTGTTCTTTCAGATTACGAAGCTCCTCTTTGTTTTTCTCCATTGCAGCTGTTTGAAGTGTTAGAACCTACATGTATACACATTACAGTTAAGATTGTGTGTAACATGCTATTCATGCACATGATACCTTGAGCATTTGTCTATTCCTTTCAATTTTTTGTGCCTCTTCCATTTCTTCCCGTTTGCATTTTGCATCAATGTCCTCCTGCCACATCTTGGCATACATTTTCTCCTCTGTGGTAATACATAAATAAAAGTCAACATTATACATCAATATTTGTTATTTTGACACTTCATTGTGTAGACATGCACACATGCAAGTTTGCTTTACCTTGCTTCTCTCTTTCCCTTTTCTCAGCATTCAGCTTCAGCTGATAAGCTCTGTCAGTAAAGACTTCATCTCTGTGCTTTCTAGTGAGGAGGGCTCTCATCTCCTCGCACTGATTCCTCCATCTTTGCTCAAGTTTTTCATCAACCAGAGCAAGCCTCTGCTGCTCTCTCTGCTCTCGAAGCTGTCTTGCTCTCTCTCTCATCTTTGCTTGTCTTTCTAGTGTTGTCTCTTGCTTCACTGCTATTTCAGACATGTACTGTTCTTCCTCTGATTGCAATAAAGCTCTCAATCTGTTTTGCAAAATAAATAATGCTTTTGGGGACTCATTGATCATCATACTTGTCTCTCCTTTCCTCTAGGCTATACTGTCGCTGTTGCATGAGGTGCTCCACTCTTCTTTTAATAGTGTTTCTTTTGAGTTTTGCATCAGTTTCGTTCTCCCAAGTAGTCTTGAAAAGAGAGAGAGAATTGAATTACTGCATGATCAACATGCAGTTACTGCCATACCTTGAGATCAAACTGTTTATTGTAGCTGACTATAGCCTCTGCTTCCTCTCTTAGCTTGTGTTGTTTCCTGGTCTCCAAGATGAGATGCTCCTTTGGTAGTTTTGATGGTCGCTTTGCTCTCTATTATTAGTGATTATTTCCACATAATTACTGTTTTGATGGACTTACAATGGCTACAGAGTGAGGTGTAGGCCCAGTTACTTCCCTATTAAGTCTCCTACCACCTATAATACCCAGGTCCATGTTTGCAAGCTATCTTCTCAACTCAATCCCTTTGCACACTCCTTTTGTTATCCAAGTTTGGTTTCTATGGCAACAAAGCAATCACGTGAGATTAGTTTATTGAGTCACGTGAGAAAAGTTATTATGAATTATTAATCACGTGAGACAAGTTTATTAAAATATGGACAAAAATTTTGATGAATGATGATTAATTTTTCATTTTTAGGAGGAGGCACTTATCTGATCTTTTAGAGAATTAGGGGCAGTTTTTTTAAGTTCAGAAAGCCCATTTGTTTACTCCTGAGCCTATAGAAAGGATTCTAGGCTCCTAGCTATGGCTGACATTGAGAGTGACGAAGAAGGGGCAGTAGTATCCAGTGAAATTCCGGAGGTCACTCAGCAGGAGATAGAAGTAGCTCCCGGTAAGAATCTAGTCTTTATTGTATATTTTGACCTCTCTCTCCATTTTGGGCGACTCTGATTTTATTTTTCTGTTTTGTTTTTTTGCATGTTTTCATTAGCTCCAGCTGAATCACCGAAAGAAGAGGTTCCAGAGAAATTGGGGGACAACGACGATGAATCACCATCAATATGGCAGAGGATAAAGGACCTTTTCCCTTGCCTTCGCTACAGTAAGAAAGAAATACACTTATTATGTGTGTGTAGTTATTACAACATGTGTGCATGTACATATGTACATGTAGGTTTCTTGTTAAAAAACAATTAATTATCTAATTAGACAGCCAATATTATTACATGTACAGTACATATGTACATGCTTGTTTTTATAACATTTAAATCAAACAAATCCATGTACATTTACGTTTGATTCTTTGACTTTGCTAAAGTCCTGTTAATTATATTTAATGCATGGGATGTTACTATCCTAATGGCACTATTGGCTATGTGTGCATGTACATGTACATGTAATTATATCTCCTTCTCTCTCTCTCTCTCTCTCTCTAGATGAGGACTTGAGGCGTGTGACTGCTAACAATAGAGAAGAGAATGCTCAGTACAAATATGCTGTAAGTCACCTCATTCACATAGAGAGTTAACTGTCACGTCTCACCCTTCCTTGTCATTTGACATTATGATAGCATTGAAATTATCTGTCTCTAATGTCTTGTTTTTGTACAGAACAATGTCATAAAGACGGCAAAGTACAACATCATAACATTCCTACCCATCAACCTGTTGGAGCAGTTCCTCAGGATTGCTAACTTTTATTTTCTGATTCTTGTTATTTTACAGGTAAAGAGAGGGCGAGAGAGAGAGAGAGAGAGAGGCCGTAAAAAGAGCTGCTTTAAGAGCCTACCAGTCTCTTTCAATAATGTTTTAATAATGTCCCTCCTACCTTCTCTTTTCTCCCCTCTCCCCCTACTCACACACACACACACACACAAGGCTATACCTGGCATATCTTCAGTTCCAGTCTATTCTACTCTAGTCCCATTGTTAGGTGTACTTGCTACTACTGCCATCAAGGATGCCTATGATGACATTGTAAGCCAAACAGCACTATATAACTACAACATTATACTTAGTGTGTGTTATGCCAAGTGAACCTGTTTTGTACCAATCAATATCTTCTTATAGCCGTGTTTGTATTTATATTGTTAATTTTATAGAAACGGCACATCAGTGACTATCGTATCAATTCACGTCCAGCAGACATTGTAAAGCCTGATACAGAGTAAGTTGTACATGTACATGTACATGTACATTTAGGAGAATTGCTTGCTATAGCATTAGCTGATGTGATTAGTGATAAGACATATTTTACACTATATCATTGTTATTTTAATAATATCTGTTATGAATACAAGTAGGATTACTATTATTATTATTGTCG